AATAAATGATTTGACTGATTCTGCCTCTCCACATGGAAATGAACATAAAACTCCTACTCCACCAGAAGAAAATAAAATGAAATCTCCTGCTCAATGTGAAGGTATGCATATTATGCCTGTTTGCAGAGGAACCTATGGAAAAAAAAATACTATAGAGACCTTTGTTTAATATCTTTTAATTATTACTAAATCAACTTTTAAACAATTATTGTAGATCTCTTTACACCTCGATTTTGCCCAGACTGCAAGGGACCAGCACCAAGGTAATAGGATCAATATAACATAGTTTTTTGGGGCAGGATTCTTATTATATTGCTCTTTTGAACTATTTCAGGTACTCTACAGAGAAGCAAGGGCGTAACCATGGCAGATACTTTTATACTTGCATGGACAGATGTCAAAAGAACAAATCATATTTCAGATGGGAGGACTGCATTTCTTGTAAAGCTGAGGACGTGAGAGTAGGACACTATACCTGTAAAAGTGATTATATTTAATTAATTGTTCTTTTAAAATGCCTTACATATATGAAGAAAACAAAAAAAAAATTAATATTGTCTGAATCTTGCAGCACCTGCTAATTCTGTTGAGGAAGAAGGCTCTGGTGGGAGTTCCGAATCATTGGGTGGAAAATCCCCAGAAAAGCAGGATGATGATGATTCTTCACCAGAAAAAGGAAGTTCAGCTGGGAGTGCTGAGCATGAAAAGTACCCCAACAACCAGGATGTTACTTCATCCCCAAAAACTAATTTATCTTGTTCTGAAGACAGTGAAAATGAAATGACCTTTTCACCCATCTCAGCAACAGAATGTGACTGGATGGTTGATCTAGACGAAACTTGTTCTATGTTTGGACTGACTAAAGAACAATTTTTAAGTGGATTGCAATCCATGGACGCTGATATAGGACCAGATCTACAGGTTCCAGGTCTACAGCAGGTTGCTGCTCCTAAATTTACATTGCCTGATGCCAAAAGGAAAGTTCGTAAAGGTAGTTATTTTTTGTTGCACATGATATATTTAGTAAAAGAGGCAGCAGCTTTCTGAATTTAATGTGTTTCATTGGATTCATAAGTAACAAATGTCTTTAAAATTGCTCTTAGGTAAAGATATTGACAAAATTGGTATTGAAGAGAGGCAGATTAGAGGTTCTGCAATTTCAGATAATGACGTCACTCAACTGACTGATGTCTCATGGTGCGTCAAATCTCAGAATAAGTACACTATGGAAAAATCCTACAAAGTCCTAGAGCTCCAACAAATCTGTAAAATCTCAGCATGTAGCACAGAGCCTTGCAAGCACATGTTTTCATGTACATGTAAGGACTTCAAATATTCTGCCTGTCCTTGCAAGCACATCAATAAAATATATCTGATGTATTTCAAGAAAATTAATTCAGGTAAATATTAATCTTACACTCTGGCTCATATAGTTATAAATTTCAATCAATCTTAAAGATTCTTTGTGCTCATTTTATTACAATCATCAATATTATCATATAATTGCCATTTTTCTGCATTTTGCACAGCTCCCTCAGTGGTCTGTTCAACAAGGCCTTCCCCAGCTGCAATCCTTCTTCCAAACCTATCTGTTCAGGGTCGGCCCTGTAACAAAACAGCAACGAAACAGAAAAAGGCTGGTAAGTCCTCTAAGTTATTTTCTAGATAGGTCACATTTTCGGAATTTTAGTAATGTTAGATCTTTCATATTCTTTTGCTCAAAAATCTAGATTATCTATGTTTTGATGTACTTCTGTCTTACAGTTAAGAATTGTGGAGAGAGCAAACAGACCAGCATATCTGGTCGTAAACACCAGAAAACACCAGCAACAGCACCTACACCAGACCACCTCTCTAGTGATAAGGATGATGTTGAACCAGGTCAGTATTAGACTAGAAGTGATATTGCAGCAAATACTGTATACTGTTTATGTATTAATTCATTACTCTATGGGAAATTTCCATCTCTATTCATTTATAGATCACCCCCCTCCATCTACATCCATTGGCCCATGTGTCGTCTGCCAACGAGCTATCAAGGAGCGTGCACAGCAATGTTTCAGATGCACAAGACAAGTGCACAATAAATGTGCTTCACTGCAGCAAGAAATTTCAAAAAACATAGTTGTGCTTATGTGCAACAACTGCAAAATTTCTAGAGGTTTGTAGCTGTTATGAAATAGATGTAACCACCTTTGTATGGGGCCTTCACCTGGTCTCTCAACAATTTCAGACACCGGACTTCTTCCATCAGCTCTTAATGACATCCAAACTGGTCAATCATTAACGGATGAGCACCTTAATGCAGCATGCATTATGCTGAAAGAAGCTTTTCATGACCTGGGTGGTTTGACGGCACCTGAAAACATTGTAAGCTTTGACACTCAGTTCAAAGTGGCACCTCATGTCGCCAAACTTGATGAAGATTACCTCCAGATGATGAATACTGGGACGGGTCATTGGGTCTTGCTCATAGTATCTCAAGGTGCTTCAATTGTTAATGAGAATTATTATTTTTACTCTGACAACATATTATATATTAACAAATAATTTTCAACCAACAGGTCAACCATTCCTAATGGACAGTTTTTACCTGAACAAATTAACTGCCAACACCAAAACTCAAATTAGTGAAATTATGAGTTCTGATAAAGATATTATAGTTCATGTACCATCCATCCAACAACAAGACAATCCGACAGATTGTGGACTGTATGTAATAGCGAATGCTGTTGACTTTGCAATAAGTCGCAAAATTAGAAAAGTTACATTCATCAGGGAAGAACTCAGGTCACATTGGCTTAAATGCATTTATGAGGGAAGAATCTCTCAATTTCCCTATGAGCAGCTTGAAGATCTACATGAATCTGAATTCTTGAGTCATGTAATACATCACACCCCACAAATGGATATAAGTGAGTTATAACTGTGATGGGGTAGAACATAAGTGGACTTAATTATATTAAGGGAGCTTTCATCTGCCAGTTTTGGTTAATTTTTTATTGAAATAATTTCCTGAGTTCTTACTTTGCTAACAACTGTTCCACATCCTGTGCAACAACTTTAAAAAAATAGAGCACCTAAAACATTTTACTTAAGAAAAATACCAAAACTGCAATTTGGTGAATGACCCCCACCTAAGGTTTAAGGTAAAGCTACAATTTTGCTGAAATTTCAGTTAACGGCCGATGCAAAAATTGCTTGCTTCAAGATCCTCAGCCAGGACACACATGCTGTAAATACTGTCAGGTACAGAACAAGAGGAGAGGACACATATGTGAATGTGTGGTATGTTTGGATCCCACATCTGATAATGCGAATCTTGTTCCTTTGTGTTGCAAAAATTGTCGTAAACCCATGCATGAGTTCTGCTCTAAATTCATCATTGAAGAGGAAAGTAATTATTGCTTCTTCTGTAAAATTGAAAGAGGTAACTAGCAATACATTGCAGTCAAGTTACATGTTGCCATCATGCTTCATTCATTAACATTTATTCCAGATGTAAAGTTAGAAAAAGAATTTGTACACGAGATTTTGCGAGGAAAACCTGTAACTAAACAACACTTGAACGTTGCATCCTCCTTCTTAAAGAAGCAATATCCTGATTTAGAGCCTAAGGAGCCTAAGGATATTGAAAGGAGGAAGGAGTACCTTCTTTTCTGCTATGATAATTTGAAGGATGAGCAGGACTACGTTCAATTTCTTAGCACTGGCACTGGCCACTGGGTCTTGCTTGTTGTAAAAGAAGGTAAATTCAAAATAGTCCCCTTGGTATGACTGTCCTAAGTGTGGTTACTCATTTAATAATTTAAAATGCATGCTTTTCAGGAGTGCCATATTTGCTCGGCAGTAAAGTCAAGGCTAAATTAACCTCTGAGCTTGAATCACAAGTGGCAGCTATTGTTAATTGTTTTCAGAGTGAATTTAAAATTTACATGCCTTATATACAAAAGGAAGAAGACAGTGCTTTGCTTGCAATTGCTTATGCAGTTCAATTTGCAGAGACAAGGAACATTCAGTATGATATTTCCTTTGAGAAATTAAATTCTCACTGGATGGATTGTTTACTTGAGGGAAAAATAAGTCTTTTTCCTAGCTCAAACAAAGTGCCTGCATTTATGGAAGAGACAAGTACCTCAGTATACTGTGTCTGTCGACTACCAGAGCACTTTAGCATTACAATGATTGACTGTGACAAGTGTGGTGAGTGGTACCACCCTTCTTGTGTGGGCCTTGTGGACGCATGCAACAAATGGATTTGTCCACTCTGTACACCTGAAGCTGTACACCAGTAGGTTTTTTGGTTAATCTCCTAATTTTTACTGAAACTTGATGTAAATTTTTATATGTTTCTTATACATTTGTTTTTGACATTGACTTGTCTTGGTTTTTACTGTACTTTCTTAAAAATTTTATAGCTGAGTTATCAAGTGTTGAGATAGTTTGCAATCAACTGAATACAAGGAGTCTGATATTAGCATATTTACTAACTTTTTAGTAGGATAATTGTAGACCTTGTATTTTGGTTGTTTTTTAATTTTTTTAATTATTATTTTTTACAGAACTTTGCTAGTATTGTATTTACATACCTTGCGCAATCTTTTGTTCTGGTCAAGATCCTATAGAGAATATTTTGAGCTCCAAATTGCCTTTCTTACACAAGGCTCTCTTATTTTGATTGTTTGGACATTTATTCTATTTTGTGAAAACAACTTTGAACAAGTATTTCAGTTTGTTTTCTGATTTGAGAAGTCAGCTGTTTAAACATGAGGCAATAAATGTTTTACCAGTTCACATATTGTATACCATGTAGATTCGTCATTTCTTAATTAATTTAAA